TGAGTGCCTGCTGCGTGCCTGTGCCAGCACGGACAGGTGCCTGACACGGTCGACGATGACGCGCAACAATCGCGTGCCGTCTGACGCGCTGGTGCTCGGCGTGACGTGCGCGATGTGAATGCTCGGAGCGTCATGCTGGACGGCTGGCTGGATGACGAGACGGCTGGCTGACTGGACTGGCTGCATGATGGATGACTGGGCTGCCATGGGCGGGCTGGCTGCTGTGCCGGGCAGCAGACCCGACAGATGGCTCGCCAATGCTGCTTCTGGTGCTGCTGCTCGTACTGCTTCTACTTCTGCGCGGCATGTCCATGCCGCCACCAAGACGGACGGACAGCCCGTTGCTTCTGGTGCGACGTGACACGATCTGTCATTGCAGCATCAAGCAACGGCCAGCCAGCTGCTGTCTGTGGGAACCATCCTGCTGATCCGTATCAGATCCAATGAAGATCCAGCGCACCGTCACTCTCTCACGTCATCACCTTGTCCAGCGTGTCTTGTTGATGTGCCGAGTGGCGTCTCTGCTCTCAAGACGGCGTCGCCTTCACCTGCCCAAACACGCCTTGGCATCAATGCGCAACAACGGACCGTGACGAGACAGCTCCTCTCCCCCATTCACAGCCCAATCCTTGCTGTTGGGATATTGTGGAAGCATCGTTGCAGCATGCGCATCGGTAGAAGGCGACTGCGTCACTCGTCTGTGGGATTCTTGTCAAATCCACCGCATCATCGGCTTGCTCAGCAATCGCATCTGCGACATTGCTGCCATGGATGGACGAGGATGGCAACCGCTCACCGTAGAATGGCTACATATTCCGTTTGGACGAGATATAGCCGAGTGAGCTCAGAGCTGCTCCGACAGTGTGAGCGACAACGACGGATACGACGGTGGATTGGCTTGTATGGATCAGGCTGCTTCATTCCAAGTGCTCGCATAGACTTGTTGGCAACAATCCCACTGAGTCCTCTGCCCTTCAGCGTGCTGCTTGTGTGCCCAGAGTTCTGACTGGATCAACCATGTGCACCATTGCATGCCGTGTCGGTGCATGTCCCACATTCTCGTGTGTTGCAACGGCTCTTGTTGGACGATCGCGTCGAGTGGATCTTGGCCTCACAGCCACAAAGCGAGCAAGCGGCTGTGGCGATGACGACAACGCAGACGACAAAGAACGCAGCAAAAGCCAGCAACGAGCATGTGCGCCGTCTGCAGAGCCAGCTGCAGAGCACAGCCGAGCAGCCGGCCGCCCTTGGCCGCACCGACATTGTGCGGGCTGTGGTCGAGCAGGTCGTTGGAGCGAGTGGCAGCCAAGCCGTCGAGCCAGGACAGCCAGGACAGACAGGACAGCCAGCAACGACTGCCCAGCCAGGTGTGCCTCGCTATGTGGTGCCGCCAGCCACCGGCGACCTTGCATACGGCAGCAGCCACTGGGACAGCAAGCCCGCCGAGATCCACGCCATGATCCTCAAGCACGCCGGCCCGCTCACTCGCTTCCTCAACGGCCTGCTCGGCGACACGGACACACTCGACAAAGAGACCAAGCGAGAGCTGTGGATCGAAGCGTTCAAGATGGACTGGCAGGGCGATCTGGCACTGCTGCCTGACGTCGAGCTGACGGCCGACAACGGGCTGCTGCTCGCGCACTCTCGCTCCATGTACGACCGTCTCTGCAAGCGCTTTCCGCGGTGCACCCAGCGCTTCTGTGCGGGCTCAGAAGCAAGCGGCAACAACTACGTCATATCGCTCAACCACCTTTACTTTGACAGCCGCCGACTGATGCTCATCCCCATGTGGCATGGCTGGTTCGATCTGATCGACTTTACGTATCCGATCGCACTCGCTCGTACGGCCATCCACTATGGATGCCTCGATCTGCTCAAGCATCTCGACGACAAGTACCACACACTCAAGGACTGGATGGTCAGGCAAGATCCAGCAAGCGTGTACTGGCACAGTGCAGTTGATCAGGCAGCGGGAAATGGACATCTCGACGTTATGCAGTTCTTGTTTGCGGCAGGCGTGGTGGGATGCAGTACCTGGGCGATCGACCGGGCGGCCGGTAAAGGCCATCTGCATGTCGTCATCTGGCTCCACGAGAATAGAAGGGAAGGATGCACATATCTGGCGATGAACGGCGCGGCTGCCAATGGCTATCTGCATGTCGTCAAGTGGCTCCACGAGAACAGGACGGAAGGATGCACAGCTTATGCGATGGATTGGGCGGCTGAAAACAGCCATCTTCATGTCATCATCTGGCTCCACGAAAACAGGACAGAAGGATGCACGACTGAAGCGATGAATCGGGCGGCCGGTAAAGGTCATCTTCATGTCGTCAAGTGGCTTCATGCCAATAGAACCGAGGGGTGTACGACCAATGCGATGGACGGCGCGGCTGCCAACGGTCATCTGCATGTGGTCACATGGCTTCTTGCCCACCGCACTGAGGGCTTCACATACGAAGCGCTCATCGAGAGCAAGACGGACAGCATCGCTACCACCCTGATCAAGAGCCTGACACCGGAGCAACGAGCCAGCATGGCTGATGCGATTACTCGGTATCGGGTTGGCTACAACCAAATGCGCATTGCTCGCATACTCGCCTTGCTTGAGCAACCATCTGCTTGAAAGCCACCAAATGACAACCATCTTCAGCCATTGTTGCAAGCACCATCCGATGACCGTCCAACTTGCCATGGCAAGGCGTGTTGCATCTATTGAAGCACGACCAAAGCCAAACCATGCTGCCTCCTACTGGCGGCCCACCGGCAACTGTCTAGAATGGATCAAGATGCTCCATTCTGATGAAGATGCCAAAGTGGACGAGCAGGACGTGAAGATGGAGTGGAAGATCTGGACCGCAAGGCTGGCAGACGGTCAAGCACGACTGCCAATCAACACACTTGGCTGGCTCTGGCTGTGCCTGTTATGGTCCGGCTGCAGTCGAGCTGTCTTTGTGTGTGTGTGTGGCAGCTGGTATGGTTCAGAGCGGCATGGCGCGGCAATGCAGAGACAAGGCAAGGCGTGATCGTTTGTTGGTTCTGGCACGAAACGGGAAGCACAAAGCAAGGTGGTGGATATTGACTCAGCAGCACCGTCATTGCACACGCAGCTGCGCAATCAACTGTGATTGTGCTCGAGTCGTGGAACTCGGCGACTGCTTGTGAAGGCAGCTGAGCAGGACAGACAGGCCGTTCTCGAGCGCAGAGGACAGAGTGATGCAGACGGCATGCGGCAAAAGCAAAAGCAACAGCGATGCACGGGAAGGCGTGGCGTGGCGCGGCGTGGCTTGTCAGAGGGGCAAAAGATGAAGCAAAGGTGCATCAGGCAAAAGTGGATGCTCCGTAAAGGGATCGAACCTGTGACCTTTGCGTTATTAGCACAACGCTCTACCGACTAAGCTAACGGAGCTTCCCACTTGGTGTCGAAATCTGCTTGTGCATGCATGTGCATTGGCTACACAAAACCAACGAACAAACAACAAACGAACAAACCAACAAACGAACAATCGACCAGTCGACGACAACAGCGACAATCCAGACACACCCAACAGGGCAGGGTGTCAAAGGCTGCATCGATGCAATCAAATGTGAAGTTGGTTGATGGATACAGATGGATACATTGCACATGTCAGCAATGTCTTGAGAGTCGTCTTGGTCGTGAAACAGGTTCAGGTTGTCTGGGTTGGACAGCCATCCCAGCTCGTCCGATCCCTGCATGAAAGCGTCGGCTGTTTCTTCTGCTGCTGCTGCCAACGGCTGTCCATGCTGCTGCTGCTGTGCTGCTTGTTTCTGATACTCGCGCTCGAGATGCTGCAGTTCATGCTCATCTGGCCATGACGGCATTTCCAGGTCATCAAAGTCGTCCTGTTCACGCGATGCTGCCCAATGGATGCCTCACGCTGCAACGGCGCGTGCGCCTACCGTCACAGCAGCGAACGCATACCAAAGAGTCGGCCTTACAGTCGAGGTCACACCGTGTCACGTGTTTAGTCACGTGACCCGACTTCTACCCAGTACTTTCCGTCATCGATTGACCGACCCCAAAAAGTCACACACTTGTGGGTCGCATGCTCGCAAATGTCCGTCGCCCATGCTGGCTGCTGACTCTCAGGCATTGGCATGATATGCAGGTCAAATGTCATCATCTCACACCAAGCGAGCAACGTCTGGAGCATCAGACAACGACGACGATGCAGACCATGAACGACGGAAGCGCATCAAGACGCCGCTGGAGATCCAAAAGGCACAGCTCGAGCGCCTGATGGAGCGGGTCGACAAGCCCGTCGTCATTCCAGAGCGCCGCAAGGCAGACAAAGTAGTTGACCCCAAGGACACCAAAACGCTGGTTCGCAACGTGCAAGGCAAGTCCCCAAGTCGAGCAGGCTTGGATGACGCTCACACAGATGCTGACGCTGGCTGCTGTTGGCACGACAGGCTCAAGCGCAGGCGCAGGCAGTGGCGACTTTCATGTGTACCGAGCACTGCGGCGGAAGGAATATGCTCGAGTCAAGGCATTGGACGAAGCAGCCAAAAAGGTTCGTTGGATCTGAAGCAAGGCATCGCCAAGGCACACCTGACACATCCTTCCATGCCTGCCTGCCTGCATGCATGCCTGCCAGGAGGAGGAGGAGCAAGAGTACCAGAAGCGAATGGATGCCATTCGGCAGCAAGAGGCAGAGAGGACGGACAAGAACCGAGCCAAGCGGCAGAAGCGCAAGCAGCGCGGCAACGACAAGGGCAAAGACAAGAAGCAGGCCGCTGGCCCGAAACAGCAAGGACCGGCAGGCTCGGCAGATGCACATGCGGATGGTAGTGCTGACGGGAACCAGTCTGATGCGCAACACAGATGTGGTGATGGAAATGACGAATGAAAGCCCTATCGTGACTTTGCGGCGAGGTCTGAAGGTCAGGAGATGGCCGACGACACAGACAGCGACGCACCAGGGCCAGTCCGGGACAGCACCTCGGATATCAAAGATAAGACCGAGGGTCTGGCGGGTGCTGAAGACGACGATGACGAGCTCATTCGCCAAGAGCTGGAGAACATGGCTTCAGAAGAGGTGCGCGTTAGTGAGGGGGGTCGTGACTTTCGAGTCGGCATATTGCAATGGATTCGCAGTCGTTGTCGCTGCGTGGGCGAAACTGACGAGGCTGGCCACGCTGTCGGTTGGACACAATGTGCTGCAATGGCAGGGCAGGGTGCAGATGGCGAGGCCGATATGCCCGAAGGGCTTGTCCAAGAGCTCGACACCGAGTCGGTCAACGACGATGCTGACGAGATGGATCGCGAGCAAACAGACGCGTCACAGGACCCAGCTCGGACAGGGGTGCGGTCATCGATGGCGCAACGGCTGGAGCAGGCCGACGACGAGTATCGGCCATTCAGCCAGCTGGAAGTATGCATGCAATGGACTTGCAATGGCCACTGCCAAAGCCGCTACTGAGCCGGCTGATCGACCCGCCAACTCACTCGGTGGTGCATCGGCTTGGTATCATGCACGCAATAGACAGAGTCTTGGAAGGACTTCGTCGACACGGTCGCTGTCCGCAGTGCCGAAATGGCCAGCCGCAGCGACGACCTAGACACGGGCATGTCGAGCCTGATGGAAGCCGCGGACCGGCACGTGGCAGAATCGAGAGCATCACTGCCGAGGAGTCTGTTCAACGGGATAGTCGCAGACGTTCCAGACGGTGCTCGTACTCCTCCACCCAAGCTGATCCAAATGGACGACGATGAAAGTGGCGGCGAAGACAATGGCGATGACGCTTCGCTCCAGCACGAGCCGCAGCAGAAGCTTGCGGCATCAAGTGACGATATGTCGGCAATGGACCTTTCGTTCTCAATCAACAGCATGGATATCCTGAATGCAGTCGAGGCAGCGGATGCGGCAGCTGAATCTGAATCTGTATCGGCTGCTTCTGGCCAGCGGGCTGGTCAAGGATCGCTGCGCAAGCGGCTCGGTCGTCGAGAATCCAGCGATGCAGCACAGCCAGGTGCACGCCAGCATCCACCACCCATTCAGCGACAATCCAGTCTGCGAGTCTCTTCAACCTCGCATGCACCAGGAGCCACCCATCTGGACAAGGACGGGCCCGGACAACTTGGCTATCCAATGGCTCGAGGACATCCTGCAGTCAGGCGTCAAATGAGCACGCCGGATGATCTCAATATCACGGCGAGATCCATCTTGTCGTCGTCTGGTGCTCAAGGCAATGCTGTTGCCACGCACAGCCGCAGGCTTTCGAGTGGAGTCGCAGAGTCTGGAGCGAGACAAGGAGGACCGCGTGTTTCGGCATCGCAACCTATTCTTGCTCGGCAGGGTAGCCTGACGCAGTCCGGACACAATCCACTGCTGCAAAGGGGCGCTTCCTCTGCTCTCTTTGAAAGTTCAGAGGCGGTTGACGAAGGTGACGAGGTGAGCATCGTTTGTTGATTGATTTGTGGGATTGGTATCCATGCACTGTTTGGCTAAAGCTGCTCGTTTGGGCTATAGTTGGATGCGAGTGTACACGACCTGGATACTGAGCTTCAAGAGAAACTTGAGTGAGCGCTGCACCCTGACCGACATTCATTCTTGCAGCATTCGAGAGTCGCATACACTGACAGCAGGGTTGTATAGAGAGCTTGACATGATGACCCAAAGCGAGCAAGAGTTGCTCGACAATCTGCGCAGAGAGGTCGCGCTCAAAAAGCTGCCAGGCACAACATCCACATCGGACATCACAACCGTCGAGGCCAAGCGCGAAAAGACCAAAAAGAAACGGCCGCTTGTCAACCAAAAGCAGCAGCCGGAAACACCAGATATTGACGGTTTGCTGACACTCACAGTGTACAGCACAAACGACGGATCACTCCGCCCTCATACGACTGGATCTATCGACAATCTGGCGGCGGCGTCAGCAATGGCCAGCCAGGGTCCCGAAGTGTTTGATGGGCCAGACATTGCCGATGTTCCTTTCGACATGGGCGAGTTTTCATTGTTTGCAAGCGGAGCAGACGCAGCCGACGCGGCATTGCTCAAAGCCCTTGTCCTCAAGTACGAGGCCGAGGTGGACTGGCTGCGGTCAAAACTGCAGCAAGAGCGGCACTTGCACAAGGAGATTGGGTTCAAGATCGAGTCGCTTGGAGCCAGCAAAAACTCAAAGATTCGCTCGATTCGCGAGGGCAAGTCCAAGATCCCGGTGCTGCACGAAAGGATCCGCGCGCTGACGCTGTGGCTGTCGCATGATGTCAAGTCCATGTTTGAGCGCGAGCGTGAAAAGTCGCTGCTACTCGTGCAGCGTGCCAACGACTTTATGAAACGATCGGCCGATGCCAACAGGGGCAACTACGCGGCCCTCGAAAAAGTGCGAGGCAAGCGGCAGATTGCCGAAAACAAGTACATGGAAGTGCGGTCCCAGGCAGCCGATGTTCGCATCCAGTGCTACGAGACGGAGGAGGAGATCAAGGATCGCAAGGCGCAGATTGAGAATGTCGAGTGGGAGGTGGCCGAGAAGCGCAAGGCGAAAAACGAGTACATTGCGGCCAAGATCAAGTCCGAGGCGTTGCTGCGCGAACGAGAAATCGCGCTTCTTTCGGATGCACTGGAAAAGCGGAGGTCGATGGGCGGACGAGCAGTGGTCTATGAAGATCTGGATGTAGTGGATCTGAGCGGCACAGGGATCACCAAGGTGCCCAAGGCGCTGTCTGATATCAAGCGTGCAAGACACGTTGATCTGGATGGAAACAAGCTCACGTCAGCAATGGGAGTGGAGGGGATGCCCGAGCTCATATCGCTCACTGCCAACGTATGCACCTGCCTGGATGTCGACTCGTTTCATGCACAATATCTGCACTGCTGATCCGACTTGTGGCTGATTCAACGGCAGAAAAACAACATCCGCAAGCTGAACCTGGTTGAAATGCTGCGTCTTCGCACATTGTCGGTGGCATACAACAACATATCCGAGCTGGCGGTAAGTGCATGATGCGAACAAACGACGCTGCGCTGTGGCAGGATCGCTTAACCTCGCGAACGCAATCGGCAATACAGGGATTCACAGACTCGTTGACGTACCTTGATTTGACAGGCAACCCCGTCGCCAGCATTTCTGCTCTTTCATCGGCCACGTCCCTGCAAATCCTAGTGCTGCGCAACAGCCGCATCACCGACCTTGAGTCGCTGCACATGCTCCGAAAACTCGTGTACCTGGACATGGGTGGATGTCGGCTCTCGGAAGCGGCTGCAGAGCATGTTGTCGACTGCTCCGTCCTGCTGTACTTGTCCATGTCCAACAACATCATCTACACCATGCCCGAGATGCCAAATCGCATGTTGTACGAGGTGGATCTAAGCTCGAACCTGCTCACGTGAGTCTCGTCTGCTGGACCATTCTCTCTCGCCACCAAGCTGTTGAAGACCCTCGGAA